AGAAGTAGAAGTAGAAGCAGGAGTAGGAATAGGAGTAGTAGTAGTAGTAGTAGTAGTAGTAGTAGTAGTACGAGTAGTAGTAGTAGCGGTAGTAGTAGTAGTAGTAGTAGTAGTAGCAGCAGCAGCAGTAGTCATAGCAGTAGCAGTAGTAGTAGTAGTAGCAGCAGCAGCAGCAGTAGTCATAGCAGTAGTAGTAGTAGTAGTAGTAGTAGTAGTAGTAGTTGTAGTAGTAGTAGTAGTAGTAGTAGTAGTAGCAGAAGAAGAAGTAATAGTAGTAGCAGCAGCAGCAGCAGGAGTAGTAGTAGTAGTAGTAGTAGTAGTAGTAGTAGTAATAGTAATAGCGGTAGTAGTCATGGTAGTGGTAATGGTAGTACTAGTAGGTTTAGGGTTTAGGGGTTTAGGGCTGTAGGCCTTACAGATTGTTTCTACCTGGGCCTTGCCCACTTTGGGCGGCTAAGGGAGGCTTAGGGGCTTTAGGGTTTAGACAGACCGGTGTATGGGATGCTGACCTGGCGCAACCGTAGGCTGTGTCCTGAAACGACAAAGATTGGAGCACAAATCTTGGTATGCAAGCGTTATGAAACCATTCTTGCTCCTATTGTGCTGCACTGATACATGCACTGGCAGGAGAGGCTATCCTCTGAAAGCGCACAAGACGCGACAAGATCCACTAGCCTGCCTGAGCCGTTCTTGCACAGCACTACTATCGCCACCAGCGAAAGCATCACCCCACGTCACGACGGATCCGTCGCCCAGGATGGCAGCAAATGCGCCATTTCTGGAGGCTTGGACCTGCAGCACGTTCTTTAACTGCTCCTGCGCAACACTGCTGTCACCACCATGAGCAGCAGCACCCCAGGTAACGACTGACGCATCGTCAAGGATGGCAGCGAAAGCATTGCAAGAGGCCTGTATGTCCTGCACGTGCTTCAGCTCATGCACAGCACTACTTTCACCGCCGTGGAGAGCATCACCCCAGGTCACGACGGACCCATCTCCCAGGATGGCAGCAAAAGCGGCCGTAGTGGCTTGGATCTTCTGAACATTCTGCAGCTGATCCTGCACAGCACTACTGTCACCACCATGCTCAGCATCACCCCAGGCCACAGCGGATCGATCTGCCAGGATGGCAGCAAAAGCAGCACTACTGGCTTGGATCTGCTGCACATTCTTAAGCTGATCCTGCACAGCACTACTGTCGCCACCTTGATCAGCATCACCCCAGGTCAGAACGGATCCATCTGCCAGGATGGCGGCAAAAGCAGTCTCACAGGATTGGATCTGCCGAACATTCTTCAGCTGGGCCTGAACAGCACTACTGTCACCACCAAAGCCAGCGTCACCCCAGCTCACGACGGATCCATCTCCAAGAATGGCAGCAAAAGCAAACTTTGAGGATTGGATCTGCTGCACATTATTAAGCTGCTTCCGTACAGCACTACTGTCTCCACTTCCGGCATTACCCCACGTCACTACAGATCCATCGCCAACAATGGCAGCAAAAGCACTGAAAGAGGCTTGGATCTGCTGCACTTCCTTCAGCTCATCCTGCACGGCACCACTGTCACCACCAAACTGACAGTGGCCCCATGTCACGACAGACCCATCACCCAGAATGGCAGCAAAAGCACCAGCACTACATTGGATCTGCTGTACAGCTTTCAGCTGATTCTGCACAGAACTGCTGTTACCACCAAAGCCAGCATTACCCCAAGTCACTACGGATCCGTCGTGCAGAATGGCGGCAAAAGCACCCTGTCGCGAGGCTTGGACCTGCTGCACATTCTGCAGCTGATGCTGCACAGCAAGACTGTCACCACCATAGCCGCAGCCCCAAGTCGAGACCGATCAGGATGGCAGCCAAAGCAGCGGCAGAGCCAACAATTTCAATCCGATTTATCTGCAGGGTCAGGGAATCACCATTCTGTATGTTGGAGTCCTTGATCGATGCACGGGCATCTGCAATGCTACCAGCTGGGTCCACCAGCCGCCATCCTCCAACTCCAAGCGCGGTCTGCGCCCGAAGCTTTAATGCTGCCACATCTTCATCCAAGCCTGCTGTCACGGTAGCTGCCTTGCCACTGAGCAGTTTCACATCCACAGAAATTGACATCTTGTGTGTGCGCAAGATGGAACTACCAACTTCGAATGCTCACTACCAGTTGGAAGGTATCCGTTTTCGAACTTCGACTCGTCTAAGATTCATGCTAGGATGCATAGCCAAGAACATATCGTGTGCAATCTCCAACAAGCTGATGCTATGCTACCTTACCTATCTCATCAACGCCCTCTAAGATCCTATTCGCACCCCTTCGAACAACACTAAGGCCCCGATCTCTGCAGTGCTTAGGGTTGAAACGGAAAGGCTCTCTAAACCTGAAGCCTTGAACCTTAAACCAGCAGGAAGCGCACACTTGGGGTGTTGATTTCAAGCACCCGAATAGCATGACAGTATTTTGCGAAAACAATAGCTGCCTTGCTGATCGACCTACTGAAATTGATACCCGGAAAAACACTGGTTGCAGTCATGAACCCCATCAAACCTAAACCGACTCTACCCTAAACCCTAAATCTTACACGGGGCGGATATGAACGCGGAGACAAGAGTCGCCAAAATTCGAACATCGAGGTGACGTTCTTGTATCTACTACTACCACCACCACCACCACCACCACGACTACTACTACTACTACTACTACTACTACTGCTACGTAGCAGTAGCAGTAGCAGTAGTAGTAGTAGTAGTAGGAGTGGTAGTGGTAGTGGTTTTGGTAGCAGAAAATATACACCTCAAAGAAGCCTTGAGTAATTGACCACCGCCAAACCAAGCCCCGACGATGTAGAGGTTTAAATAACACGTCTCTAAAAGAGTGTAAGCCACCAATCCCCAGTGCCCTTAAACCCAAAATCTCCCACTCCCTCGTGCGAAGCACATCGCCCTCGAACAAACAACAGAGCTGAAATTGTCCTTTTTCATTAACCCAGAGGGTCCATATACACTACCATTATGGAATTAGGCCCCAAAAGACCATCCCTATTATGGTTTTGGGGACCTAATTCCATAATAGTAGTATATATGGACCCTCTGGGTAATGAGAACAATTCAAACAAACTCACAGTTCACGCCTTGAGAAAGAAATCTTCAAGGAAAATCCTTACTCCAAACCCCCAGACCAGAACTCTCAACCCTGGACCCGGCTCCCTTCACACGAAACCCGAATCTCTGAACCGGTTTAGGGTTTAGGGTTTAGGGGACTCTGAACCCTCAACCCAAAGCCCTCATCGCTTCGTCGTGTTCATGGGGATCACACGCAAGCACTCTGCCGACTTGGCTCTTCGAGCCACCAAGCGTGGTCGGAAGGTGCACTCGGCCACCTTTACGGGGTAGAAGGGACTCAGGCTCTCTTTGGGCATCTATCAGGGATCTAAAAGACATCTAAAGACCCATTCAAAATGAATTCTACAGTGGGTTACAGGGACTTCTATAAGGCATCTAAGAAAAGGGTTCTAAAGGAGTTCCAGTTCCATAAAGGGTTTAGGGAATCAGGGCTTGCCGGCCTTTTAAGGTGAGGAGGCTTGGGGCCTTTACGTGATTCAGGGTTTAACATAGGGGCCTTAATACTTAGACTAGGGTTTGGGGTATATTATACTAAAATTATAATCAGGAACCGCCTAAAACCCTAGTCCAAGTATTAAGGCCCCTACCTTGGGGTACATTGTACTATAATTATACTAAGGACCCCCAAACCCTAGTCCAATCATTAAGGCACCTACCTCGGGGTACATTCTACTACAATTATACTATGGAACCCCCAAAACCCTAGTCCAATTATTAAGGCCCCTACCATTGGGGTACATTATACTATAATTATACTATGGAACCCCCAGAACCCTAGTCCAAGTATTAAGGCCCCTACCTCAAGGGAGGGAGAGAGACCCAAAGACTCCCAGTCGAAAGACCCATAGGCTCCATTGTGGTTCTTTTTTTGGTTTAAACAATTATATGCTTAGGATCCTATAAGGTACCGCCAAAAAGGAACTGCAATGGAGACTATAGGTAATGCACAACTTCGAGGGTTTAGGGTTTAGGGTTTGAGGTTTAGGGTTTTTGCAATCTACAGTCCGTAAGTCGTGCATACTTGCAGGCTATTTAGAGTCTTGGGGGAGAGCCGTTCTGTTTTCGGGCTTACCGGTGGGGCTTGGGAGTCTACACAGTTTAGGGTTAGAGGCTGATTCTGGAAAAAGACCCCAGTGCGCTGTAAGTTGCCAACAGGGTTTGGGTAGAAAGAGGCTTAAGGTGTGGGCAGTTCAGGGTCGCACAGAAGTATTACGGAGTATCTTGTGTGTGTTGGAGTATTCCAATCGTTGCGTCGGCTTCTATCTTTGGGACTGATGATTTCTCCATTATGCCAGACGTATTGCTGTCATTACTATCGTTTACATCGGCCTGATCTCAAAACCCTAAACCCTCTAAACCCAAAACCCTAAACTTTAAGTGTCATTCTCTGCGGGGAGGTCAGAGTGTTTCTGATTCTTGTCATGCCATGTGTTCTCAGGTTTGAGGGGTCGTAGCGACTACAAGGTGATCGTAGTATTTCAGTATACTACGGTAGAAAGCGAAATAAATGTTCATGGTATCTTAAACTTCATTGTCGTCACGAAAAATACTATCGCAACTGATAATGCAATATGTTTTTAGTCTTCAGACGCCGACCGTTTCCTGTTCGGGCACTTGGATTCATAGGGCTTAGCCTGGCAAGCCCCAACTCGCAGTTAGACCTCCCGAAACCCCGACAAGCTCAGCCTTAGGCCCTAGCCCTTTTTACTCAGACCCTAATCCCGCGGTTTAGGGTCTAGGGTTTAGGGCTTCGGGTTTAGGGTTATCCCCAAGTTCTGAACACAAACCCTCGATGGAGGACCCCCAGTTAGGACAGGCACATTACGTCTGATTTCCCGAGCCCACAGCTTTATCAAATTCTCTGAACGCCCCTACCGCAACCCCTACAGAGCCCAAAGCACTTAATCCTGGGCACGGAAACCTAAACCCCAAACCCTATAGCCTAAACTTCAAAAGCTGAGCACTGCCGCCCTGACATAATCTTATTCCAGAAGTTCTGAATCCCACCTATGTCCTGGCCCCCGAACAGTGATCCTTGTATCCCATGTAAACCCTAAACCCTGAAACCTTGAAGCCCCGAAACCCTCGTCCTTGCATCCAGAAACCCTGAGCCCTAAACCCGAACACCCCTACCCAAAACCCTCACACCCCTGGCCCTAGACCCTAAACCCCATAAGCCTTGTAGATCCCTTTAACGGAACCCTAACCCCGAAACCCTCAAACCCCTGAACCCTAAACCCGGTGCCGCCGCCTCCTGCGCCTGGCGAAGCTCGCGAAGCCCTTGCCTGCGCATTTCGGCCTGGAAGAGCAGAATCGTGCGAGTAGGGGGCACTGGGGTTTAGGGTTTAAGGATTTAAAGCGGTTTAGGATTTAGGGTTTATAGGGTTTAAGGGTTCAGGGCGGTCGGCGGTTTAGGGCGGTTTAGGATTTAGGGTTTAGGGGTTTAGGGGTTTAGGGGTGTAGGGACAGGGTTTACCGTGGGAGAAGTTACGGAAATACCCTGAGACTCTCAAGACTTAGATGTTGAGGCTTCTGGTTCGAGCTCCAGAGACAGGATTCAGGGTGTGTTCATGCCTATCTGTCTCACTATCGATCTGTCTGTCTGTCTACGTACTATCTTCCTACCTACCTATCTTGTCTACCTATCTGTCTGCCTACCTGCCTACCTATCTGTCTATCTGTATATCTGTCAATCTGTCTATCCATCTGTCTATCGATGTATCTTTCTCTCCCTCTCTATCCATCTATCCTTCTATCTACCTATCTCTGCAAGCGTAGTATGTATGTTGTTAGCGAATATGGTGCGAGGTCTCTTTTTGGGGAGTCGGCAGATAGCGGAGGTATGTTGAGAGCTTAATCATACACTGCCTTGCCCAGACCAGAAGTACGGTTAAAGCTCGATGGATTCGACTTGGAGCGGGTACAGGATACGGTGTAGGGTTTGTAGCCTGTTTTCGGGGCAAGATTTCGGGCTGGGGGTTGAGAGTGGGATTTAGGAATTTTGGTTCTTGAGTCGGAGATGCAGGTTTTAGAGTAGAGTTGAGGTGTTTGCAGGTTGTGGCGGGGCTGAGGGTTGAAACCTCAGGCGCTCCAACGTTCCTGAAGCAATCACGTGCAAAACTTTCATCTCCGTGATGACTCCACCCTAAGCCGCTTAGTTGTAGTAGGCATCAAGTTCAACCCTGGTCATGCAAAAAATCTAAATCTAAAGTTTAGGACTGCGAAAGTGTATGCATGGTCGGTTCCTGCGATCTGCTCTGACTGTCTTTCTTTCTCTGGGGCAGGGCGAGGAAGAGTCGGGACTCATGTTTGGCGTGGGAGCTTGGCTTTAGTGAAAATTCGAGGATCGGAGGTTAGTTTGGGGCGGTCGTGTACAACATACCCTAAACTGGTCCTATACAGTGTGTATATATATGTATACACACAGAACTATGTATACATAAAAACTACATCATACGAACATCCAAAGAAACAAACATACATACATGCATACATGACAGGCCGGCATGCAGAAATACATGCAGAAAGTACATACATGTACATGCACGTGGAAAGAAGAGCATGGTGATAGGGCTTTGGGTGTAGGGCGGCTTCAGTTCCCCTGAGCCTTGGCCGTCACCCCCATGCTCACTCAAAACTTTCAGATCCAGAAGCAGCCGAACCTATGGACAAGAGGATGTGGGGCTTCAGCCCGCAACACCCCTCGAAGAATCGACAACGCCTCAGCACGAAAGCCCGTTCAGGGCCTGGTGGTGGCGCCAGTACATCATCTCCACGTGTGCTTTCGCACCATTGCATGCCTCGTCTCTGCTCTGATCTTACCCCTCTTCCGCCATTTCTGTCGCTAAGTTAGAAGCCATTTGTTGTTAGTACCATTAAAACAGTTTTTGGAGCCTGTCCTGATGATTGTAACTGCAAGTATTAGCACGGTTGCTGTTGTCGTATGATAGTTCTCAAGATGACACCGTTGCGATATTTCTGCCGCACGATTAGTGTGGCTGTTCGTTTGTTTATCAGCACCGTTCATATTGCTAGTCATATTGCTAGTCTTAAGTACTAATATTTGACTTCATTTCGTAGTGCTTTGATAACCGAGCCTCAGTGTTGAGTTTGAGGTTCAGGCTGCATGTTGTTCTGAAATTCAGTTCAAGCTGAACGAAACGTGTTGGAACAGAATATGGACTTGGGTGTATTATAGCATCATTATAGCAGTAGTAGTCACTACCAGGTGTTATATGATCATTAAATAGTTGGTGTGACCTCTACAATGCTGCTTCGTATTGAAATCCTATCCCACTGAAACCTATAAAACCCCGGATGCACATCCGAACCTCCAAAAGCTTAGCTCAATGCTTTGAGGGATACATCGCGGGCTGTCTATGTGCACATGTGGGACCTATCATCTTTCCGGCCAGCGAGGTAGAAGATCCTGCAGGGCCTCTGTGTTTTGGGGTCGGGATGCTTTGTGATAACCTAAACCCTAAACCCTGAACCCTAAACTAAACCCTCAACCCGAAACCCTAAACCCCGAACCCTAAACCCGTGACCCTAAAACTCCAACTTTAAAGTGCTTCGAACCTACACCTGGGCAGAAGAGACCGAACAGCCGACAACCTTTCAACCCGATATCAACCCTACACACCCTATACCGAGAACCCAATACCCCTTAATTGAGGAATATACGTTTAATATTATAAGGGCTCTATGTTTGAAGGTATATTCCTTAGTTAAGGGGTATTGATTTCTCTGGGTATACACCGTCCATATGTCCTACACGCGTAAACTAAACCGCAAGCGTCATCAGTCTAAGGTAGGGGCCTTAATAATTAGAATAGGGTAATAGGGGTTCCTGATTATAATTATAGCTGTCTAACATGCTGTCTAATATAGGCCCCCCCCCCAAATCCTATTCTAATTACAAAGGCACCTACACCCTGAACCCTTATGGTAGCACTTGTAGAGCCCTTTAAGGAGCCCTTTACAGGAACCCAATAAACTGTTCTAATTATTAAGGCCCCTGTATTAGGACTGAACTGTGCGGAGTTGCCTTCGGCTCTTTGGACTGACTTCCGACGGGCTCCTACAGCCAATGGTAGGGTTTGGGATTGTAGGGTTTGTTTTTTTGGAGGGTTTAAGGTTTAGGGATTTTAGGCGGGTTTAGGGAGGTTTAGGGTTTAGGGTTTGGCTTCATGTAGGATTTCTGTAGGGCTGAGGGGGTATGTATGGGTTTTTGAAAGGCTTTCCGGACATTTGCAAGTTCATGAGTGGTTTTTAAGGGGGGAGGTTGACTTGGGGTTTACAAGTTGTACTATGTGAGTTTTTGGGTCTACATGGAGCAGATGGGCGTAGGGTTCACGAGAAATTAAGAGTAGGGATAAAACTACACGTAACAGGACGCAGTGCCTTACTTCCCTGATCCTTTGACAACTTCTGCCCCTATGATACGGACGCCTCATATAAACGGAATGAAAATTAAGGCTCCCACATTATACAGCTCCACCATCTCAACCTCCGAAGAAAAAACTCGTATTCCACTCCATGCAGGGCCAAGGTGTTGGGGCATATTCTAGTAGATGTACCTTAACCCACCCGAACCCTACTTTTTTGTAGGGTCCCTATCTATCCCATATATTAGGGCTTTATGATGGGAAACGACAATAAAAAGTGGGTTTTGGTAGGCTAAGGTATATTCGTCATAAGAAGCCCAAAGGAAGAGTATTGGGAACTGTTTAGGCCGCCGTGATGCGGTACCCAGGTTCTCAACATGGTATTCATTGCTCAGGGTTCGGAAAACCGGCGGTTTTCATAAAGGGCTGCTTAAAAAAGCCAATCTCGGAGTTGCCAAGTTCATGGTTTCCCGGAAAAACCTGGGATATACATACATGATATGTGTCATACAACCGGAAGGCCTGTATCTAAACGTGACAAATTCCAAAACTGAGAAGCTAGTCGCAGCTCTCGGTATGGATCCTTAGGCCTTCGAGGACTCTGACCCCTTCACCTTACGGGCTACAGTTTAGGCCTTGAGTGTCAGCATGGCACTTCAGATTTTGGCATTTGGGTATCAGGGCTGCCCAACCAACTTCTTTAATCGCCGCACCAAGCGGCAGTGATGCGTGAGACGGAAGCACGACACCTAAGTCCGTGAACCCTGAACACTTACCTTGCCCCTACAGAGCCTACCTTTGGTTCGGGCTTTCAGGTTACAGCCTCTGCTTTGTTATGGATCACATCCCCCAGCATGTAGGCTTCTTGATTCTACAGGGAGCGTTTAGGAGTTGAGGGCTTAAGACAGACTCTCAGACCACCCTCCTGCCCTAAACCCTAAACCCCAAACCTCAAACTTCAAAACCCTAAAACCCTAAACCCCAAACCTCAAAACCCTAACCCTAAACCCCCAAA